CTAGCACCTCCTCCCTCCTTCTGCCCAGCTCACACCTTCCCGAGAGACCCCTCTGCTCCAGCACGCACCATACACACTCCTCACACCCACTCCCTGGCCTCCTCCCTGACTCCCTGGAGGTGGAGGCAGGGTGCTGGAGGGTGCTGGGATGCTGCTCTGGCCTTCTTCCTGCACATCCCACCTGCCAAGGAGCCGCCACCCGCCTTCCGCTCTATAAATAATAAACCAGGAATGCGATAAAAAAAAAAAAGTCAGTCGGAGCAGCAGAGTAAATGCCAAGAATCGAAGGCTTGGTCCTGCCCTATCTCAGCCCTGGCCTCTAGGGACAGACTCAGCCCCTCTGTTCTGGAAACGAAGCATCCCTTTATTTGAGCCGCTCTAATGACATCTTCGGGTGCCTCCCCCCCTCCACCTCTGGGGGCCACTGAAATCCTGCCGCTTGTTACTTAACTCAGAGAGACAAATCTAATGTGGACTTTCCTCCCTGAGGGGCCTCAGAAGGAGCCTTGAAGGAGGAGGCAGAGGAAAGAGATTGGCTACAGTTCTGCTGAGTGTTGGGCCCCCTCCTGCAGAGACTTTGCTAAGCTAGCAGATGCTCTCTGTGGTGATGCAGCTGGGGCTCAGCTCGGGACCCTTCGGCCTGGCCCTGAGCAGGGACAAAGCTGGAGACCTTATGTTGAGGTGCCCCTGAATGGTGTGGAGCAGACTGCCTGGTCTGGAACCCACTAACCTGCTGTGTGGCCTTAAGTGAGTTAGCATACTCCTCTGCCTCAGGTTCCTTGCGTGTGACATGAAGGTAATAATGAAGCTATCCCATGGGTAAGAACTCATCATGGGCCAGCCCACGTCCGGATGGTTATGGCGCCGGTTCCACATGGCCCACTGCAGGGCCCCAGGCTCAGACCCTGTGTCTGAGGAACATGCTGAGTGTGTGTACGGGCATACCCAAAATCCGGATGAGAGGGAGAGTTGGAAGAGAGGGGATGGCAGCATGACCGTTCCCTTTAGTGGGTCCTTTATCATTTTCTCCCCCTCTTGTCATCTTCTGGTAAATTTTAAAAATAATAATTCATCGAAGGATCCAGCACAGCGTGCTGTGTTGGTTATGTGATACTAATATTCCAAACCCTGCTTCTCATCTGCGAATGTTCCTGGACTTTAAGGTCAGGGGTGGGGCCTCAGGAAACCATTGCATTAGATCAGTCCTGACAAACGTATCCACTCTGTGCTGGGCACCGTGAGGGGCGAGAGCGTGTTTGGACTGGCCGACACCAGTGAGTGCGCAGCAGCGGCAAGGCCGTCTTAGCCGGGAGCAGGCAGCCTGGACGGACTGAGACCTCCCTCTCTTCACTCTGGAGGGTCCCAGGCCAGGAGCTGATAAAACTCATGGGGATAGTTCACCATTTTTTGACTCAGGGAGACCCCTTTTTCTTCTGCTAAGACTTGACATGGCAGCTGAAATTCTTCTGTGAGACACACTTCCTGGTGAGAGCTTAATAAAGCCGCTCCTGGGACCAGCAGTTACCATAATGGCTATGTCGCTGGACTTCCACGTAGCCGACCGCAGTTTGTGTCCTGGACCCGATGGCTTAAACTCACGCCGGGCGCGCGTGCATGCATGCCCAAGATCCCGAGAGGAGAATGGAGGAGAAGGGATTGCGGCGTGGCCATCCCCCCTGGGGGGTGATTTCACGCTTTCTGTCTCTCTGTCTCTCTCTGTCTATCTGGTGCGAGCATGCACCCTATAGCAAAAAAAAAAAACCTCTCCAAAAAAAAAAAAAAAAAAAAGCCGCTCCTCTCCGAGAAAAGGAAAGTGCTAAGGACAGAAAGCACACAGTGGCAGGGACTTCCACAGAGGTGTGGGGTGTCTGCAAACGCTCATACCATAACGGTGTGTCTGTAGATGATGGCCTGCTGTCGAGAAGAGATGAGAAAAGGGGTGACAGGTTTGAGCCATGTCAGTGGCTCCGCCCTTTCTCTCCCACTCAAGAGAGCATTCAGAATTCCAGGGAGTGAGACTCCGGAAAACTGAAAAGTATGTGAGCGGATGGATATGCTACTTAGCTTGATAAGATCGTTCTGTGTTGTATACAAGGAGATGTCAAAAATGTTGGTGGAAAAATAGAATTAAAACACGATTTTATTGGGGTACGAAAAAAATCGAAATCCATGCAGAGTTTTTTTCATAATATGCATCTTCCCTGAACTTTTGGAAGACCCTTCCCCCCATACATACAATTACTACTTGTCATTAAAAGTCAAAAGTTAGGGCCAGCAGTAGCATGATAGTGAAGGAGCTGGACCTTCTAACACGGCTGACGCTGCGGACGGAGTTCCAGACCTGGGGGCCTGAAAACACCAGGCAGATGCCCAAAATCCAGAGAGGAGAATGGAAGAGAAGGGATTGTGGTGTGCCCATGCCCCCATGAAGAGGTGATGTCTCACTTTCCCTCGCTCTCTGTCTCTGTCTCTCTCTAGCAAGCTCGTACACCCTGTGGCACACACAAAAAAAAAATATTATTTTTTTTGAGAGGCTTTTGCTATAGGGTGCATGCGCTTGCCAGAAAGACAGAGAGAGATAGAGAGACAGAAAGTGAGAAATCACCCCCCAGGGGAGATGGCCATGCCTCAATCCTTTTTCTCATTAATTCTCCTCTCGGGATCTTGGGCACGCACACACACACACCCAGCGTGAGTTTAAGCCACGGGTCCGGGACTCAAACTGCGGTCGACTACATGGGAGTCCAGCGACATAGCCATTACGGTAACTGCTGGTCTCGTGGCAAAAATATTTTTAAATAAATAATTTTTAAAAAGAATTATTTATTTACTTATTTTGTTCCATTTATTATTATTCTTCTTTTTAATTTGACCAGAGAGCGAGAGGGAAAGTGAAAAAACAAGCCGCCAGGTCTGGGCCTTGAACCGCAGTCGAACATGTGGCAATCCGGCGGCTCTATCCACCATACCATCTGCCAGCCCGAATAAATAAAATTTAATTACTCAAAAGGAATTAGAGTGGGGAAACCTCATTATGGAGATGCCCCTGAACTCACTGAAAACTGAACAAGGAGCCACTTGCAAGACCAGCCGGCGTGTGCAGCAGCCATGGCTGTGGCGCTCAGCTACCTGTGACGGTGACCACTCCCACACTGCTCCCTACCCCGGCATGTCCCAGACACGGCTCTCCTTGGCATCTTCCAACAACGAGGACTCCTCGAGGTCACCCCATCCAGCCTCTACCTGAGGTGTGGCATCTCAACACCTGCCAGGATGCCTGATGCATGGGAGCCTCAACCTCTCCTGGGCCTTCCCAGACACAAGGCACATGCCGCCCCGGAGGGCAGCCTCTGGTGGCCAAAAGCTCCTGGGTTTGAAGTCCTGGCTCCCTGCAAACTCCCCAGGTCAGCCCAGCCCAGCCTCTGCAGGTTACTGGCCCGGACTCTAACAGCCCAGCCCTCCCACCCGAAGTGGGTTTCCAACATCGTAGCGCCTTGAGTAGATGCAGAAAATGACCTGGATCTAAAACGTCCACAAGCATGTGCCCTGAGTCCATGATGGCACCGGTAGGTCTCCCAAACTAGCTCTCGTGGTCACGAGGTCGGGAGACAGTGTTAACGACGTAATGGACGTGCCCATACATGGTCTGTCTCTCTGGCAGTGGGGGAGCCCAGGTGCAAGAAGGTCCTCAGCACTTATTAAACTTACTTTCTCATCCATAGAATGGAGACAGAGACAGCGTCCACTTCCCAGTACGCCCTTACACACAAACACCCCGTATCCCAGGCTGGAGGGGTAGCAGTAAGTGGCTTGAGCCTTGAGGGCTACAATGAGTGATTTGGGGTGGAAAGGCAGGCATCTCACAGACATGGAGAGGAAGCCGTTGCTAGCACGCGTCCGCAGGCACTTCTTGCTGCTGGGGAAGGCGGGAGAGGCTGGGGAGTCAGGCGAGAATGGAGAAATTCTCAGCCTCAGCCACGTGGTCCCGTAATACCTTAGAGCTGTAGGGAGAAGCCAGTACAGGTAAATGACCACTGGGTGGCAGCACAAGCCAAGGAATGAGCCGAGAGGCTTCTCCTCTCCCTCCCCCGGTTCCGGTTCCGTTTACCTGTCAGGTAAAGGCTCAGTCACTCCCTCTCTCTCCTGTCTTCCGCCCACACGTGGACAGATGGGGACTCTGCAAGTGCCCAGCTCCCTTTGTTAATTCATTTAATGAACCTCTACTGCGCGTTGGGCGCTTGGGCTACAGCTCTGAGCAAAGCCGAGGGTGCAGAGAGGCAGAGCTTGGAAGGAATCCTCTGCCCCCCTGGCTCCCCAGATGCCTGCTAGCAATGAATTTAAGCCACGGTTCTCAGCTGGGCAATCTGGCCCCCGAGGAGTTGAGAAAAAGTCGGTGGTGTGGGGTGTAAACCATCTCGCTGTTCATGCATACAGCTAGAATGTTTTGATTTTTTTTTTTTTGAGAGGTTTTTGCTATAGGGCGCATGCGCTTGCCAGACAGAGAGAGAGAGAGAGCGAGAGAGAGACATAGAGACAGAAAGCGAGAAATCACCCCCCAGGGAGGATGGTCACGCCACAATCCCTTCTCCATTCTCCTCTTGGGATCTTGTGCACACACCCACACGTGCCCGGCGTTAGTTTAAGCCATCGGGTCCGGGCCGCGATCGACTACGTGGGAGTCCAGCGACATAGCCATTATGCTAACTGCTGGTTCCCCATACAGCTCGAATATGCACACAGTCTATGAGCAGTTATCTGCCGTCTTAGGGTTTAATGGGAAGGAAAACGATAGGTGGGGTGGGGGGTGTATAAAGGGCTCCTGGGAGTGGCGGTAGCGGGTAAAGGTGGAGAAACAATACTCTGAGCCACCCAAGGGTGCCCTCTAGGGTCTGCCCGCCTGGCACCCTGTGATGGCGTCCTGAGCGCTGCAGGAAGGGGGCCTCCCCCAGCTCTGCCTGCAGGGCCCACAGGCTCTCCTCTTCCCTCCCTGCTCTGCTCAGCTGGGTCTTTCTGCACGAGAAGGCCTACCAGGTGCGGGACACGGCCATTGAGTCCTCCGTGGTCACCAAGGTGAAAGGCTTCGGACGCTATGCCAACAGAGTCATGGACGTGTCTGATTACGTGACCCCATACCAGGTAAGGGTCACCACCAGAGACCACACAGACACTGAGCAGGGGGATCGGGGCAGGCCAAGGAGAGAGCAAGTGGGATTTGCAAGCCAGAATATGGGCTATCAGTGACCCCAAGACCCTCTCTCCAACAGTAGGGACGTGAGGGGAGCTTGGGCCTACCCCCCCCCTCCCCGAGTACAAGACCAGGCGTCAGGAAGGCTGGGCTCCTTTCCAAGCTCTGTCCTGAGATGCGCTGCATCAAGTAACACAAGGGGCCATGAGGGTGGCTGGAAAGAGCTTTTGGTAGCCTTCAGCCTTGGCGGAATCCCCTAACCCAGCCTCGGTTTCCTGCCCTTAGAGGGGGGTGATGGCAGTTCCTGCCTGGCAGATGGGAACTGTTGCATTTTTTCTCCCCCCTCTCCTTCTCCCCAGGGCACCTCTGTCTTTGTCATCATCACCAAGATGATTGTCACTGAAAACCAGATGCAAGGATTCTGCCCAGAGGTGAGGCAGGCTGGGCAAGGTCAAGGAAGAAAATGGGGGTGGGCAGGGAGATGCATGGGTGTCAGCAGAGGCCCGAAGTCCAGCTTTGGAGCTGTGACCCAGGGCCTCCCCCCTCTCCTTCTCCCCAGGGCACCTCTGTCTTTGTCATCATCACCAAGATGATTGTCACTGAAAACCAGATGCAAGGATTCTGCCCAGAGGTGAGGCAGGCTGGGCAAGGTCAAGGAAGAAAATGGGGGTGGGCAGGGAGATGCATGGGTGTCAGCAGAGGCCCGAAGTCCAGCTTTGGAGCTGTGACCCAGGGCCTCCACCCTCAGAGGCCGCGGCTGCGGGAGGTGGTGGGAGAGGAGGGCTCACCACGGGCCAGTGCAGGGTCCTCCACCCACCTGTGGATCTGTCATCCACAGAACGAGGAGAAGTACCGCTGTACGTCAGACAGCCAGTGCGGGCCCGAGCGCTTCCCGGGTGGGGGTGAGTGCAGCCCCTGCCTTAGCCCTCACCACCCACCGCGTTGGCAGAACCGTGAAGGGCAGTAGAGCCGGAGAGGGAGGGAGAATCAGTGAGTCCATGCAGTTCCGCTGGCATTTATAGGTGCTCAGTGGGCGCCAGACCCAGCAGGCCACAGAGGTGGCCCAGCCCCAGCCTCCAGAGTTCCCAGTCCAGGGAGAGTGGGTGACAGACAGGGTGCTGTGAAGTAGCAAACGCCATCACAGGCATACAAAAGACTGTGGGAGCCCCGGAAAGAGAGGGGTTGGTTCTAGGTGGGTGGCACCAAAAGGCTTCCTTGATGTGGTGACATTTCGGATGGGCCTTGAAGATGAGTAGGATTTGGCAAGGCAGAGGCAGCTTCAGAAAGGGCATTCCAGGCAGAGGAGCATCTGCAGCGCAGGCTTGGAGGCAGGATGGAAGAGCCAGAAGGAGGGGTCCTGGGGTGGCTTGGCTTAGAACTTAGAAAGAAGGGCTGTCACTCCCTTTGGCTCAGCCTGGGGCTTGGGAGGAAAGGAGGGAGAGAGCCCCACGGGGAATGCGGCTCCCCTCACCCTGCCCATCCTTTCCTTCCACCTGCTGGGGTGTGTGGGGGAAGGAGGAGGTCCCTGATGCGTGTGGGGAGGGAGAAGGGAGTGGCAAAGGGCAGGCGGACCCCCAGAAGTTGTGTTTTCCCCTCACAGGGATCCTCACTGGCCGCTGCGTGAACTACAGCTCGGTGCTCCGGACCTGTGAGATCCAGGGCTGGTGCCCCACTGAGGTGGACACTGTGGAAATGTAAGAGCTGCGACAGACGGAGGAGAGAGGACCCGCCCAGCTCCCCTTGGCCGGTGTGGTGTGGGGAGCTGTGCGTCTCAGAGAGACTGAGCGGGTGGAGGGTCTTGGGTCCCCCCAGCAGTGGCTCACTCCAGGGTGGGGAACGTAACCTCAGGAGGTCATCTTCCCCCGCCCATCCCACT